AAGTGTGTGTGTGTGTGTGTGTGTGTGTGTGTGTGTGTGTGTGTGTGTGTGTGTGTGTGTGTGTGTGTGTGTGTGTGTGTGTGTGTGTGTGTGTGTGTGTGTGTGTGTGTGTGTGTGTGTGTGTGTGTGTGTGTGTGTGTGTGCGTGTGTGTGTGTGTGTGTGTGTGTGTGTGTGTGTGTGTTTACTCACCTATTTGTACTCACATATGGTGCCTGCAGGATCGAGCATTGACTCTTTGATCCCGCCTTTCCAGCCATCGGTTGTTTACAGCAATGTCTCCTGTCCTATTTCCCTATCATATCTAGTTTTAAAATTATGAATAGTATTTGCTTCCACAACCTGTTCCTTAAGTGCATTCCATTTTCCCACTACTCTCACGCTAAAAGAAAACTTCATATCATCTCTGTGACTCATCTGAGTTTCCAGTTTCCACCCATGTCCCCTCGTTCTGTTACTAATACGTGTGAACATTTCATCTACTTTCACTTTGTCAATTCCACTGAGTATTTTATACGTTCCTATCATATCCCCTCTCTCCCTTCTTTTTTCTAGTATCATCAGGTTCAGTTCCTTCAGGCGCTCTTCATATCCCATCCCTCGTAACTCTGGGACGAGTCTCGTTGCAAACTTTTTAATCTTTTCCAATTTCCTTATGTGTTTCTTCAGGTGGAGACTCCATGATGGGGCGGCATACTCTAAGACTGGCCTCACGTAGGCAGTGTAAAGCGCCCTAAATGCCTCCTTACTTAGGTTTCTGAATGATGTTCTAACTTTTGCCAGTGTAGAGTACGCTGCTGTCGTTATCCTATTTATATGTGCCTCAGGAGTTAGTTTAGGTGTTACGTCCACTCCCAGGTCTCTTTCTCGAATCGTTACAGGTAGGCTGTTCCCCTTCACTGTGTACTGTCCCTTTGGTCTCCTATCACCTGATCCCATTTCCATAACTTTTAATTTAGTCGTGTTGAACTCCAGTAGCCATTTCCCTGACCATCTCTGCAACCTGTCCAGGTCCTCTTGGAGGATTCTACAATCATCTGTCACAACTCTTCACATTAATTTTGCGTCATCCGCGAACACTGACATGAAGGATTCAACTCCTGTAAACATGTTATTTACGTAAATTAGAAATAGAATAAATCCCAGCACCGATCCTTGAGGTACTCCACTCGTTACTGTTCGCCAGTCCGACTTCTCGCCCCTTACCGTTACTCTCTGGCTCCTTCCTGTTACGTAGTTCCCTACCCATGCTAGGACCTTTCCGCTTACTCCTGCCTGCCTCTCAAGTTTGTATAGCAGTCTCATGTGCGGTACTGTATCAAAGGCTTTTTGGTAGTCTAGAAATATGCAGTTTGCCAAACCTTTTCTGTCCTGCCTTATCCTTTTTATTTTATCATAGAATTCCTAAAAGTTTGTTAGGCATGATTTCCCTGTCCAGAACCCATGTTGATGTTAGTTTACAAACCCAATGCTCTCCAAGTATGCAACAAGTCTTAGCCAAATTATTCTTTGAAGTATTTTACAGGGGATGCTTGTCAGTGATACAGGTCTGTAGTTAAGTGCCTCCTCCCTATCACCTTTCTTGAAAATCGGTACGACATTTGCCTCCTTCCAGCAACTGGGCAATTCTCCCGACATAAGTGACTCATTAAAGATCATTGCCAGTGGCACGCTGAGGGCCTGTGCTGCTTCTTTTAATATCCACTGTGATACTTTGTCTGGTCCAAGTGCTTTAGTTGCATCTAGAGTTGTCAACTGTTTCATTACCTCCTCTGCTGTCACCTCTGTATCTGATAGTCTTTCATCTAGGGTGATCTCTTCTAACAATGGGAGCTGCTCAGGCTCGGTTGTGAACACTCCATGGAAGTTGGCATTCAGTGCCTCGCAGATTTCCTTGTCACTTTCTGTATATGCTCCCTCTGTTTTCCTTAGTCTTGTCACTTGGTCGTTTACCGACATCTTCCTTCTTATATGGCTATGTAGTAGTTTAGGTTGCTTTTTCGCTTTGATTGCAATATCGTTCTCATATTTTTTTTCCGATACTCATCTTATTTTCATGTAATCGTTCCCAGCTCTGTTACATCTAATCCTGTTGTCCTCTGTCCTTTGTCTTCTGTACTTCCTCCATTCCTTACTGCTTCTCATTTGTGCTTCCTGACCATGTCCATTAAACCATGGATTATTATATTTCCTCCTGCTTTTTTTCCTTTATTGTTGGTATAAATCTCTCTTCGGCATCCTGGCATTTCCGTACGACTAGGTCCATCATATCTTGGACTGTTTTTCCACTAATTTCTTCCTCCCACTGCACTTCTCCCAGGTAGTCCTTTATCCTCCTGTAGTCCCCTTTCCTGTAATCAACTCTCCTTTCCCAGACCTTTTGTCCCATGGTCACAAGTTTGAATTCCATCATGTAGTCAAAGACTAGGACACAATGGTCACTGGCCCCTAGAGGTATTTCATGCTCTAAATTCTCGATGTCTTCTACGTTCTGGGTGAAAATCAGGTCTAATAGGCTCGGTGCATCTCCTCCTCTTTCCCTTGTGTCTTCCTTCACATGTTGTGTTAGGAAATTCCTGTCTATAACATCTACTAACTTTGCTCCCCACGTTTCGTCCCCTCCATGGGGATTCCTTGATTCCCAATTTATCTCTCCATGATTTAGGTCCCCCATGTCGGAAAATCCGACACCATTTAATATATCATACATACAGATAATTGTAGCTGTGTTGTATAAACAAGTTAACCATAGAAAACGTAACTTGTAGTGAAATTACCGTCTATAGAAAACGGGATATCATCACCACACACTATTATAATTCACCACCTATTATGGTGGGAATTATTCTTAAATACATTAGTCTTTGGACTTTACCATCAGAAAAACATCTCATATAAATTAACTTAATTATCAATATTAAAGTAGAGTAAATGTGACCCTTCTATCACTTTCTGTCATGTGGACAATGTAAGCCAGGCATCAGGGGGGAAGGAGGGCAGCCATTGTTTATACTAGACCAGAGGCACGGGAGCAAATACGGCTCCTGTTAAATTTACTTGGACGTAGTGTTATGGAAACCAAAAGTGTACCATTATCAACACGCTGTCTACAAATCAAGTTAAGTGTTCTTTCCGAAACCCATTATCTATCATTAGTGGCCATTAATGTCATTGGGTAGGGTGAGCCTGTTAGATCACGAAATCGCCTCATACTAAAGGTAATTAAGCCAGGTCTTCATTGTTCCATGTACAGTGTTTTCTCTGATATAGCTTGTCATATATAGGTATCTGGCTTTACAGCTAGCGACCTTTTGACAGGTCAAGACGAGGAAGACTTTGTGCACCAGTTACTGGGTGATGAAGCTACCTCAAAGAGGATAATTTGGTGTCTACACCCTAGTTATACCTGGTGGACTAACCTGCTGTACTATAAGATAAAGAACCTCTTCAATGTATGTAGTCTATTACTGTAGTTTGATTGGCTGCATATATATAAAATTAATATAAACCCCCCCTAATGTGTAGAGGATCGATTTGTGAGATTAAGAGATTATTGCAGAAATACAGTCCACTTATCATTATACAAATTGCTATCGAAGTATATAAATTAACGTAAATATAAATTCATATAAATTAAATAAATATAAATCTCACAGGTCGGTTCCCACACCCCATGATCAGCAGCTTCGCTCTCATTCTGTGTGCTAGTGTTGCTGCCTTCTGCAGTTCATCTATACATGCCTTGTTGTTGTCATCATACTCCTGCCTGGGTCTTCTACTGTGTGTGTATTTATGTGTGTTTTCACCTAATTGTGTTGCTGCGGGGATTGAGCTCTGCTTTTTCGGCCCGCCTCTCAACTGTCAATCAACTGTTACTAATATTTTTTTCCCACACACACACACCGGTGGGAGCCGGTGGCTGAGCGGAAGGGAAGGGAATTGTCGGGAAAGCGCCAAGCCATTACGACTATATAGCACTTGGAAGGGGTCAGGATAAGGATTTGTGATGGGACGGGGAGGGAAGGAATGGTGCCCAACCACTTGGACGGTCCGGGGGTGGATGAGCGGACAGAACACTGGGCGCGTGATCTATTTATTACATATTTACATAGGGTGAAAGAAACTCTGCCCATTGTTTCTCGCCGGCGCCCAGGATTGAACCTGGGACCACAAGATCACGTGCCCAGCGTGCTGTCCGCTCGGTCACCGGCTCCCATCGCTCTCACACAAACACACATACACACAGTGTGTGTGTGTGTGTGTGTGTGTGTGTGTGTGTGTGTGTGTGTGTGTGTGTGTGTGTGTGTGTGTGTGTGTGCGCGCGCGCGCGCATACTCACCTAGTTGTACTCACATAGTTGTGCTTGCGGGGGATTGAGCTCTAGTTCATTGGTTCCGCCTCTCAACTTTCAACTGGTGTACAGGTTCCTGAGCCTATTGGGCTCTATCATATCTACACTTGAAACTGTGTATGGAGTCAGCCTCCACCACATCACTTCCTAATGCATTCCATTTGTCAACCCTTCTGACACTAAAAAAGTTCTTTCTAATATCTCTGTGGCTCATTTGGGCACTCAGTTTCCACCTGTGTCCCCTAGTGCGTGTGCCCCTTGTGTTAATTGCATGTCCTTATCTACCATATCAATTTCTTTGAGAATCTTGTATGTGGTGATCATGTCCCCTCTAACTCTTCTGTCTTCCAGCGACGTGAGGTTTAATTCCTGTTGTCTCTCCTCGTAGCTCATACCCCTCAGTTCGAGTACTATTCTGGTGGCAAACCTTTGAACCTTTTCCAGTTTAGTCTTATGATTGACTAGATATGGACTCCATGCTGGTGCCGCATACTCCAGGATTGGTCTGACATATGTGGTATACAAAGTTCTGAATGATTCCTTACACAAGTTTCTATTGGCCGTTCTTATGTTGGCCAACCTGGCATATGCCGCTGATGTTATCCTCTTGCAGCCAGGAGAACAGACCCATGCAGCCAGGAGAACAGACCCATGCAGCCAGGAGAACAGTCCCCATGCAGCCAGGAGAACAGTCCCCATGCAGCCAGGAGAACAGACCCATGCAGCCAGGAGAACAGTCCCCATGCAGCCAGGAGAACAGACCCCATGCAGCCAGGGGAACACACCCATGCAGCCAGGAGAACAGTCCCCATGCAGGCAGGAGAACAGTCCCCATGCAGGCAGGAGAACAGTCCCATGCAGCTTAGAGAACAGTCCCATGCAGCCTGGAGAACAGACCCCATGCAGCCAGGAGAACAGACCCATGCAGCCAGGAGAACAGTCCCCATGCAGCCAGGGGAACAGACCCCATGCAACCAGGAGAACAGACCCATGCAGCAGGGAGAACAGTCCCCATGCAGCCAGGGGAACAGACCCATGCAGCCAAGAGAACAGTCCCCATGCAGCCAGGGGAACAGACCCATGCAGCCAGGAGAACAGTCCCCATGCAGCCAGGAGAACAGTCACCATGCAGCCAAGAGAACAGTCCCCATGCAGCCAGGGGAACAGACCCATGCAGCCAGGAGAACAGTCCCCATGCAGCCAGGGGAACAGACCCATGCAGCCAGGAGAACAGTCCCCATGCAGGCAGGAGAACAGTCCCCATGCAGGCAGGAGAACAGTCCCCATGCAGCCAGGAGAACAGTCCCATGCAGCTTGGAGAACAAACCCCATGCAGCCAGGAGAACAGTCACCATGCAGCCAGGAGAACAGACCCCATGCAGCCAGGAGAACAGACCCATGCAGCCAGGAGAACAGACCCATGCAGCCAGGAGAACAGACCCCATGCAGCCAGGAGAACAGTCCCATGCAGCTTGGAGAACAGACCCCATGCAGCCAGGAGAACAGTCCCCATGCAGCCAGGGGAACAGACCCCATGCAACCAGGAGAACAGTCACCATGCAGCCAAGAGAACAGACCCATGCAGCCAGGAGAACAGACCCCATGCAGCCAGGGGAACAGACCCCATGCAGCCAGGAGAACAGTCACCATGCAGCCAGGAGAACAGTCACCATGCAGCCAGGAGAACAGTCACCATGCAGCCAGGAGAACAGTCACCATGCAGCCAGGAGAACAGTCACCATGCAGCCAGGAGAACAGTCACCATGCAGCCAAGAGAACAGACCCATGCAGCCAGGGGAACAGACCCCATGCAGCCAGGGGAACAGACCCCATGCAGCCAGGAGAACAGACCCCATGCAGCCAGGGGAACAGTCCCCATGCAGCCAGGAGAACAGTCACCATGCAGCCAGGAGAACAGTCCCCATGCAGCCAGGGGAACAGTCCCCATGCAGCCAGGAGAACAGTCCCCATGCAGCCAGGAGAACAGACCCATGCAGCCAGGAGAACAGACCCCATGCAGCCAGGAGAACAGTCACCATGCAGCCAGGAGAACAGTCACCATGCAGCCAGGAGAACAGTCACCATGCAGCCAGGAGAACAGTCACCATGCAGCCAGGAGAACAGTCACCATGCAGCCAGGGGAACAGTCACCATGCAGCCAGGAGAACAGACCCCATGCAGCCAGGAGAACAGTCCCCATGCAGCCAGGAGAACAGACCCATGCAGCCAGGAGAACAGTCCCATGCAGCCAGGAGAACAGACCCCATGCAGCCAGGAGAACAGTCCCCATGCAGCCAGGGGAACAGTCACCATGCAGCCAGGGGAACAGACCCCATGCAGCCAGGAGAACAGACCCATGCAGCCAGGGGAACAGACCCCATGCAGCCAGGGGAACAGTCCCCATGCAACCTGGAGAACAGTCCCATGCAGCCAGGAGAACAGACCCATGCAGCCAGGAGAACAGTCCCCATGCAGCCAGTGGAACAGACCCCATGCAGCCAGGGGAACAGTCCCATGCAGCTTGGAGAACAGACCCATGCAGCCAGGAGAACAGACCCCATGCAGCCAGGAGAACAGTCCCCATGCAACCTGGAGAACAGTCCCCATGCAACCTGGAGAACAGTCCCCATGCAACCTGGAGAACAGTCCCCATGCAACCTGGAGAACAGTCCTCATGCAGCCAGGAGAACAGTCCCCATGCAGCCAGGAGAAAAGTCTCCATGCAACCAGGAGAACAGACCCCATGTAGCCAGGAGAACAGTCCTCATGCAGCCAGGAGAACAGTCCCCATGCAACCAGGAGAACAGACCCCATGCAGCCAGGATAACAGACCCCATACAGCCAGGGGGGAACAGACCCCATACAGCCAGGGAGAACAGACCCCTTGCAACTTGGAGAACAGACCCTTCCTGATATATTAAAGGCAGATGAAGAGACAGAACTATCCATTGAAATGAACCTGGAGGTTACCCGAAGGCAGGAATAGGTAGAAACCCATGTCACAATAGGTAGAAACCCATGTCACAATAGGTAGAAACCCATGTCACAATAGGTAGAAACCCATGTCACAATAGGTAGAAACCCATGTCACAATAGGTAGAAACCCATGTCACAATAGGTAGAAACCCATGTCACAATAGGTAGAAACCCATGTCACAATAGGTAGAAACCCATGTCACAATAGGTAGAAAACCATGTCACAATAGGTAGAAACCCATGTCACAATAGGTAGAAACCCATGTCACAATAGGTAGAAACCCATGTCACAATAGGTAGAAACCACGCTTGATGAAGTTGATAAAAGCCCAGTAGTTTCACTTTTACTTGGAGTTGTCCCATGATGCGCTTTAAATTGTGGTAACGAGTAGAACTATCCTGGAGATTGTAAGTGTGGAAAAACTATTATAACTTTAGAAGGGTGGTGGGAGCCCGACGACCCGAGGCACTTGCTCAGTACTGCTCAAGTGTTTTGATCAACTTATTACGGAGACAATGTGATGAGCCTTGATGGACGGATCTCTATGACTGGGTCAGACTCAGGATAAAGTTAGCGGCTTACATGATAGGTGAGCCCACCAGAGGGTAATATTAGCCGGGGGGGAGTGGAGACCATGTGACTGAGTGCTGGAGACTGACAAGTTAAACTGTGACTGGGATAGTCACCGTGGTGGAGAGTGGAAGACCACAGTCGCGCACTGGTAACACACTCGTCCCGCGCTTCGTGAGCGATTTGGCATAAGTTCGAATCCTGGCCGTGGTGGACTAGGCGCCAACCCTTAACTGTACGCCTGTGTACGTCCAGCAGTGATTGGGTACCTGGTTGTTAAACAACAGGCGGGTGGTGTTCCAGGGGGACTAGCGGGGTAGGCCTACCATGAGCTGTGGGAAGGGGAAGCTGTCAGCCCGCTAGCAGGAGTCAGCTGCCGGCTGCTCCAGCACCTGTGTAACAATATAAGATGGAGACTGCTCCTCATGAGTTAGTAAAACATGGCAGGACGTTACCGTAGACTGTGTGTGATGCACGTCAGGTCCCGCACTACATCACTGAATGCCCAGTTATTAGACCTTTCAGACCAGTTGGCATGAGGTACCTGGAGCTTTGCAATTACTTTATTCACTCTCGTGTTCTTGAAGATATCCTCACAGTATACCCAAAATTTGCCAGTGCAGGCTATTAAACACATGGCTCTGTATGACTAACCATCCTGCGAGATGGGGACTTGTATTACCACTGCTGCCTTATTCAATCTTGTGTTGATGATATTCTCAAAATGCATCCGGAGTCTGCCAGTGCAGACCGCTTATCACATGCCTCTGTATGACTAACCATCCTGTGAGATGGGGATTTTTTAGCATCACCTAGTTAGCTTTTTTGACACACTGTACTCCACTTCATATAGTCTAGGGTAGCTGCACTAATGCAGATGTACCTCATATCTTAATAAAAAAAAAAATCATGAACACCAACGCCACCCAAACTCCCAGGATATGTAGCTTTCTCAAATGTTGGTTCCCATGATGTCGGTATCTTGACGTATGTTAAAAGTAACCTAGTGTGTAAACATGTTAAAAACCACAAAGGTGACGACTCATATTATCAGCAGTTTCAGATTGCTACAGCGACCGGGTTTCTTAACTTAGTTAATGTATATGTAAGGTGAGATCAAATGGTGGAAGCTTCTCTCCCAAAAATTACCAGCAGCTCTCAAACCATTGTAATGGGTGATCTTAATGCTAGACACACTAGCCTGGGTGACACCAAAACAAACGGGAATGGCAGAGTCTTTGTAAAATACTTAAGAGATAATAAGATGTCCGTGTTCAACTTTGACTCCTCTAACGTCACACACCTCATGGGTGGCAGGCTTGATTATGTCATTGGTCACGGTCTCATTGATAATGCTGTCGGAGGATCAATTGTTCATGAACTAGTTAGTGATCACTTTGCCATATTCAGTTCATACACTATCAATAAGTCAAACCCCTAAGCTTTGGAAAAAAAATCATTAATATCCCTGATATTTACACATGCTCTTCAAATTCCGCATTTCTGAATGGTATAACACTTACTGCTTTACTACCGTCAATGCATTATATGAGGACCTGGTCACTGAAGTAACCGCTTTTTGTGACAATGTTGTAAAATCCACAAGACCCAAACAAGTGAGGAAGGGACAGAGGTGGTTCACTGACTCACGCCTTAAGCCCCTGCATGACAGAGTTCTATTCCTCGCTGAGCAGTATAAAACACATAAAACAGCTGACACCCTCAACATATTTCTTAAAGCCAGCCGAGAGTTTAGAGAGCTAAAGGAACAGGTGTATAACCAGCACTGGGAACAGTTTCTGCAAGGCATCAATCATGCAACATCCTCATCCCAAATGTGGAGTAAAATTAAAAAGATTTCTCGTCCTAGCAGTCGTCAACTTGATCACCATTCACCTGTAGACTATGCCGACATGCTGCTTCAGCAATATGCAAGCACTGCTAGTATAAGCAGCCTGCCCCTAGATGTACAACACCATCTGGCTAGTACTAAAATAAATCGTAACTTCAATATTGAAATTGCCTGTAGTGAAATAGGGCCTGATGATAACTATGGCATAACCCCCTTTGAAATTAAAAATGCACTCAAGAAAGGTAAGGCTACCTCTCCTGGAGAGGATGGCATCACATACAACACCATGAGAGTACTTGCTGAGCTGCCAACTAACCCTTTGCTAGAATTGTTTAATCAAAGTCTAAGGCAGGGTGTTTTACCTGACCGCTGGACACAGGGACTCATAATACCCATACCCAAGCCTAATTCACAATATTTTAGACCCATTTCTCTGACGTCGTGCATGTGTAAAGTTCTTGAGAGAATTATTCTCGACAGACTAATGTTACAAATCAAGCCCCACCTTGCCCCTAACCTGTATGGTTTCCTTCCTGAAAGAAGCACACAAACTTGCTTTGCTGAATATTTTATCAGAGGGGGACCAAACTCTCAGGCGGCATTTATTGATCTCCAAACTGCTTTTGATACAGCAAACAGAGAAATAATCCTAGAACAACTAGCCTCTTTTGGAGTTAAGGGAAGACTATTGACATGGCTCAGGGGTTACCTGAGTAACAGAACCGCCTCAGTCCTTTTCAAGGGGTCAAAAGTAAACTCTGTGCACCCTTTGAGTTGGGTACACCCCAGGGTGGAGTGCTAAGTCCCACACTGTTCAATGTTCTGATGCACAAATTAACAATTGATATTCCCACACTACCTGACGAAGCCGTCATTTGTTATGCCGATGATATATGCATTGTTGCAAATTCCCAAACTAGACTGCAAGCTCTACTTGATTCACTCGCTGCTAAAAGCATTGAATGTGGTCTTGTTATCTCTATAACTAAATCCAGAGTTCTCCATCCCAAAGAGAAAACTCATGTCCCTATAACTTTCAAGGTCAACAACCAGAACATTGAAACGTGTGGGCAGCACAAATACCTTGGAGTTGGTATTAACAGTGACATTGTAAATGATCTACACCGTAGGTTAAAAGAAAGACTAAAACCATTGAGAACACTTACTGGTAAGAATATTGGTATCAATATTAAATATGCTAGACTATTCTATATGATGTTTGTTAGATCTCTCGTTGATTATAATGCTCTGCACTTAATTAATTTCCCCTCCTCTGTGTTGGACAAACTTGAAGTAGTACAGAATGAGGCCATGAGGATAATTCTTGGTGCTCCAAGATGCACAAGAATCATCAACATGAGGGAAGAACTGAAGCTTCCAACCATACTAGAGAGAATAATGCAAGTCAACACCACCTTTTGCCTTAAAGTCATGAGAGACCCTACATCTCCTGCATTGCTCAGAGACAAATTATTTAGTGCTGTTAACACCCTTTTGACTGGTGCCGACATACCAACTCACTCCTTTTATGACAATTGGCTGAGCAACAATGCTTACAATCTCATTAAACTTAACATTCCTTTTAAGTGCAATCTACCTGTCTCTGATATTCCTCTTTATCTGTACCCCACCATTCAAGTATCATACACACCTGTCACCAAGAAAGGTAATGAGAATCTTGCTCTTCTCAAAGCTGTCACTCTTGAAACAATTGCCTCCTCCATCGAGAGTCTAAGATCTCACGAGCACTGTGTCTACACCGACGGCTCAGTCCAATCCTCTACTGGACGGACTGCAGCAGCATGTAGGTTTTATAGAAATAATATTTGCACAAAGACTGTCAGTGTCAGGTTAAACAACTGGCTGACCTCCACACAAGCAGAACTAGCAGCATTACACCTAGCTACCAGTACATTAAAAAACATTGGAGGAGGAATAATATTTTGTGATTCAAAGTCTGCTCTTCAAGCAATCGAAAACTTCTCTTGGAAGATCGACAGCAAGAACCTCATACTACCAATTATAGATGACCTAATTGCTGTACAGAGTAAAGGGTCTCGAATCTCCTTTGTATGGATACCTTCACACATAAATATAACCCATCGTAATGAGACAGACATTGCAGCCAAATTAGCGTGTAACAAGTTTGAAGTTGAATTAGATCTAGGTATCCCCATCTCTGCTGTCAAAACTGTATTGGTCCAAACATTCAGATCTGATAGGAAAGAACGTACTGACTCCCAACGACCTGAAAGTACTAGTATAAAAAGCTATGATTTGTTCAGATCTGAAACCTACATCTATGGACAGCACAAAACGTCCACTAGACTGTGCGACACAGTGGTTGCAAGGATCAGGTTGGGTTACCGTTACCTGTGGCAGGTGGCTGCAGGTGACGGGTCTCCCAATCCTGAGCACTCCAGTTGCAAACTCTGTGAGCAGGAACTACGGCATGATCTCCCACACTACAACCATGAATGCTCAATTATTAGACCTTTCAGACCAGTTGGCATG